ATATATTCTCTCTGCCTATCCTTTCTCCTACCTTGCTATTGACCACCAGGTGTTTTAGACAGGCACAGTAACACAGCTCCACAGAGTTAAACAAATGCAACATAAACAAAAGTAACACACCTCAAAATAATATTCCACTACAGTTGGGAGAGACGAAAGCGTGCATCTCTGTATTTATAGAAGACATTTGTCATGGGGGATGGAGGGATGACTAGACAGTTGAGAGTACTTGTTGCTCTTACAGAGGCCCCGGGGTGGGTGTGGTTCCCAGCACCCACATGGCGGCTCACAACCATCCATAACTCTAGTTCCAGGAGAGCCAACCTCTTCTACCGTCCTCAGTCACCAGGCACACACATGGTGCATATATGCACATGCAGGCAAAATAAACTCATACACATAAAGTAAATAAGTCTTTTGCCATGAGGCCTTTTTTTAATTTTTAATTTAATTATTTATTATTTATTTTGCTTTGGGATCTCACTTCTACTAGATACTGCAGTTGCTCCCCATTTTGCAGAGGTGGGAAGAACTGAGGCTTAAGGAGTGGGAAGAACTGAGGCTTAAGGAAGGCCAAGTCATACAGCTAGCAAGTCTGGGTTTCGATGCTTGCAGCTTGACACACACACACACACACACACACACACACACACACACTGTCAGTCTTTCTGGGACATCCTGTCCCCTTGGACTGGATTGGGAGGATACAGGAAAAACCCCGGCCCTCTCCCACAGAGCCTCAGCCAGTGACAGCCCAGCCACTTCCAGCTACTGAGCTGCGGAGGAGCCGGCTCCACCTCGGCAGCCTCTGCAGGCCCCTGGCCGCTAACAGCCCCATCCACAGGCTCCCAGGAGAGATCAGGTGAGAACTGTCTTCTCCCTGGGAAGACCGCAGGAAGAGACTGGAGGCAAATGGCGTTCCCAGGGGTGACTCAAAGGTGTGAGGGGTGGGTGGGTGGGTGTCTGTCTGTCCGTGCATCTGTGTTGGAGACCACTGGGGCCGGTGGTAAGCCAGCACTGCCAATGCTAGGAAGAAACCTTGTTGGGAGCAATTAATTAACACTGATGTTGCTACAAAACGTCTGTTCTCGGTCAAACTTCAGCAGTCACAGTTCGAGTTCTAAACATACTTTTCGTGTCTCTTCGGCCCCAGAATCTTTCCCAAATTCCCTTAGCCCCTGTGGCTTTTAGCTGGGGGTTACAGAGGCTGCCTTCAGGAGAACTCTCTCGCTCTCTCTTTCTTTTACAACCCTCCCTTCTTTTCCAACAGGCCGGTCCTCATGTCAGTCAAACCCAGCCCCAGCCCCGGCCCCGGCCCCGACCCCGACCCCACTTTGGCACCCAGTAATGATTTTGGAGAGATTCACAACTGGACGGAACTGCTCCACTTTTTCAACCACACCTTTTCTGACTGCCACACGGAACTCAACGAGAACGCCAAACAAGTGGTCCTCTTTGTCCTCTACCTGGCCATCTTCGTGGTAGGGCTAGTGGAGAATATCGTGGTGATATGTGTCAACTGGCGCCGCTCGGGTCGGGCGGGGCTGCTGAACTTGTACATCCTCAACATCGCCATCGCGGACCTGGGCATCATCCTGTCCCTGCCCGTCTGGATGCTGGAGGTCATGCTGGACTACACCTGGCTCTGGGGCAGCTTCTCCTGCCGCTTCACTCATTACTTCTACCTTGCCAACATGTACAGCAGCATCTTCTTCCTCACGTGCCTCAGCGTGGACCGCTACGTCAGCCTCACCACCGCGTCTCCCTCCTGGCAGCGCCACCAGCACCGAATACGGAGGGCCGTGTGCGCAGGCGTCTGGGTCCTCTCGGCCATCATCCCACTGCCCGAGGTGGTGCATATTCAGCTGATGGATGGCTCCGAGCCCATGTGCCTCTTCCTGGCACCTTTTGAAACGTACAGCACCTGGGCCCTGGCAGTGGCCCTGTCTGCTACCGTGCTGGGCTTCCTACTGCCCTTCCCTCTCATTGCAGTTTGCAACATCCTGACGGCCTGCCGGCTTCGGAAGCAAGGACGGCCGGAGAGCAGGCGCCACTGCGTGTTGATGTGGGCTTACATAGCTGTCTTTGTCGTCTGCTGGCTGCCCTACCACGTGACGATGCTGCTGCTCACGCTGCACGCGACCCACATCTTCCTCCACTGCCACCTGGTCAACCTGCTCTACTTCTTCTACGAAATCATTGACTGCTTCTCCATGCTGCACTGCGTCCTCAACCCCATCCTTTACAACTTCCTCAGCCCAAGCTTCCGGGGCCGGCTGCTGAGCCTTGTGGTCCGTTACCTTCCCAAGGAGCAGGCCAGGGCTGCAGGCGGAAGTTCTTCCTCGTCCACCCAGCACTCCATCATCATAACCAAAGAGGGCGGCCTGCCCGCTGCAGATCTCCACCCCCCACCCACCCGAAACGCTCAGGCACCCTCTCTGCCTCCAGACACCTCATCTACATCTACACGCTGCAATTCCACAGCCAGCTAAGGTGGATTCCAGACTCCTTCCATCAGTAACAAAGTCCGGATCTGGGGGAGGGAACAGGGGAGGATTGGTTTGTTCTGGGTCAATTTTTTTTTTCCTTTGGTTTTCGAGACAGGATTTCTCTGTGTAGCTTTGGAGCCTGTCCTGGAACTCACTCTGTAGACCAACCAGGCTGGCCTCGAACTCACAGAGATCCACCTGGCTCTGCCTCCCGAGTGCTGGGATTAAAGGCTTGCGCCACCACCCCCAGCTCAGGGTTAATTTTAAATATATCAAAATGTTGCTGTGGGGAGAGGGAGAAGGACTGGGAAGGGCAGAGTCTAGGTCCTCCCTTGGTGGTATACTATTGGTTTGGGTCCTCTTCGCTGAGGGAGCCACACAGGTGTGTGTGTGGGGGGGGGAAATAAATAAATATGTAGAGACACTTGTACTGGGAATCTCTGAGAACTGTGCACTTCCAGCCGGGCTTAGGAAGGCGGGGAAGCTAAGGGATGTTCTGCAGAGGGAACGAGATGCCCTTGTCTCATAAATCACCCAGGCCGGAAAGCACCCCACAGGAACCTTGCGAAACTTTGCTTTTGTGTCTGCGTGCCTGCTGACTGTCCAGCTCACTAGGCAAGTTGTGGGGACAAGAGGCCAGAGGCCAAGGACCCAGGAGGCTTCTGCAGGACGCTCCCTAGCTGTGCACCATCAAGTGTGATAAGTGGAGGGGGTGGGGATTGCAGCCTGGGTCTCAGGCAGGCACCCTGTGCTGGCTCAGAAGTCCCTCCACCCAGTCATCCAGGAAATGTGGCTCCATTTCCCTGTGGTACCCTTCCCTCCCCCACCCATCCTGCTCCTCCTCCCCCCAAAGCAGAGGCCTCCTCGCTGGCGCTGGTGACCTCAGGAGGCACAAAGCCACCAGTGACCCCTCCCCCACCCCATCTCCCAGATCATGGCAAAGTAGCAGGGGGCATTCACTCCGTGCCTCTGACTTGGTCCCCTTCAGGGAGAGGGAAGGCCTAAGGCTGACTTCCCCATTTCCAGAACTCTAGAGTAAATTCTCTCTAGCCAAGTCTTTTCGTAATTTCCCTGTCCGGCACCTTGTCTATTAACACTATAGATAAGATGTCCTCTTGTTAACAAGTGAGCCTCTGGCAAAGGCTCCTTCACCACACCTGGGACATGAGGGTGGAGGACATGAAGAACTCTGACGTAGAAGATTTAAACTCTAGCTTCTGCCTTGCGTCCTTAGCCTCTGGATACCATCTGGAGATTGATGGACTTGCGTATGCGACCACCCAGTCTGCTCTGGTAATGGGTGCCCCCATAATTTCCTCTGATCTCCTCACTCTCTCTGGTTCTGCTCACCTACAGTGTACCTGCAATGAATGGTGTGTGTGTGTGTGTGTGTGAACACAAGTTCATGTGTGTGCATGTGCACACCAAAGGTCAGCACCAGATGTCTTCATCAGTTACTCTGCAATTTCTTTTCTGAGGCAGGGTCTCTCACTGAACCTCGAGTTCGTCACTGGCTAGCCCGGCTGGCCGGCCAGCTCCAGGGACCCTCCTGTTAACCATGATTGCTTTCGGGAGCCTCACCCTATACTTAGCAAATTCCTCTCACGTTCCAATGGTGCACCCGCTGTCAAATGTGCTGAGGGAAACCAGTGTTGACTCCGCTCACTGGTTCGTTCCAAAGCTAAAAGGGTCGTAAGTTCTAGACTGCTACTCAGTGGCAGAGCTCAAGCTTTTTTGACCCAGAAGTCTTAGTTGCTGCTTAAGGCACAGTAAAAATTTAACCAAATAGCGCAGAAACTGCATTAAAAAGACCTTCTTCACTTGTCCCCACTTACAATGCAGGTAAGTCCTGATGCCTGTGCCGCTGATGTGAGCTCTGGTACACCTCATCCTAAGTAACCACAGAAGCCACCTCCCGGGACCAGGTGTCACTGAATGAATCTCCTGGGGGCCTGTGCCACCCGTGGAAGGGATGAGCAGGAGCTAGCTACACTGACTACAAAGCTGTTCCGCTTAGCAGAAGTTTACCAAGCACAGATGACTGGCCAGGCCTCAGGCTTCCGGACCACAAGGCCATGCTTTCTGACTGTCTGGGCTGAGTCCTCTGCAGAGGCCCACTGTTCTCTCCAAGCTGAGAGGTCACCTCAGGGATGTTTCCCTGATTCACTGAGTCCTTGACTTCAGTTCCCACTAAAAAACAGTCAACAAGCCAGTCCTGGGAAATTCCAGCTGCAGGAAAACACAATGTGTTGCCTGAAAGAATCCTGGCATCTGCCGGGCTGGTGTGAGCTCCTGAGGCTGGCCAGAGCCAGATGTCTGAACGCCAGGACTGAGCGAATGTGCGTGCACACAGAAAAAGAACTCCCACTTCAAATCCCTTTCTTTTTTCCTTTTTTATTCTAAATAAAAACCACACTTTGTGCTGAACAATGGAATATAAAAGAATCAGATGTACGATTTTAGACGTCTACTATTTGGGGAAAAAGGTTTACAAAATATACAAAACTTTACAGCAGATAGTAAACACTTAAATATTAGGAGGTCAGTACTTAATTTAATGGAAGGAGTTAGACGCAGCAGCTTCTCTGCTTCGTAAGAGACTTGAGCTACTGGGGGGGGGGGGCTCACAGGGAAGGAAGGGGTCAAGACATCATCATCACAAGTGTCGTCTCTGTCCTGACCTTGATGATGATCTAAGTAACGTTGAAGCGAATGCTGTGTACCCTCTTCCTGACTAACCTGGTACAAGATTTGGGGGAGAGGACATGGAGGTACTCCCGAATAGGCAGAGACCACATCACAGGCCCACTCCCATGCCAACAAACTCAGTGTCCGTCTAGAAAGGTTAAATTAACTTTCAAAGCTGAGTAGTCTAGGGTCTGGTGGAGAGGGCACAGCAGGAAGCCAGAAAGGAAGACAATCAGTAGCAAAATCCTGCCTGGGTACAAAGTACTGAAGTTTACAGGTTTGCCCTGTAAACAAGGGGCTGTGAACATGTCACAATAAAGTAAAACATTCTTACCTATTTCCTGGTTCTCATGGTTACCTGACCCCCACCAACACCACCTCTTTTCTCCCCAACTAATCATGAACTGCGGGGACTCCACAGAATCTTAAAACTTAGAACCAATCACTGGGGCTCATCCAGTAGCGCTTCCAGCCAGTGTGTGGCATCACTGAGCCATCAGGGGTCACCCTCCTGCAAGAACATAGCCTGTCCTCTGGCCACAAGCCGTCCACGCTGTTTATGCCAGCAGGCCACACCAACATTACAATTCCCCTTAGGAAACAAGCTAGGGATGTCCTGGTGTGGCTTAATGCTCTTCAAAAGCCAGCTAGACAGCCCTAACGATTGCTGGCCAAGGGAGTGCTGAAGATTGTGCAGCCGGTCCTGACCAAGGGGGGGGGGGCACCAGGCAGAGACGGAACATTCACATCTACAGGAGGGGATAGGTACCAAGTGGGAATCCAGAGGGGAGGAGAAGGTGAAATCAAAGGGGCATTAAAAACTGAACACACAAAATAAAACTGACACTGCCCACCAGGCAGCCTTGAGTACCCTTCACTGCCGCCGTGTACTGTTTCAAGTAAATCCACTCAGGAGGAGGAGGAATCGGCTTCGGGAAAAGCAAACAACTTCACACACGAGGAGAGACAGGTGTGAACGTGGGGCGACACCCAGAGGCATGGTTTGGACAGGGGACCGCGGGAGCCTCGGATTCCGCGTGCTACATGTCTGACTGGGACCAACCTGACCTCCCTGACCAACTAACCTCACGGGATCAGAGGGTACAGTTTGGTTTTTTAGTGTTTAAAGGGCAAAACTTCAAAGATCTGCTTTTTGGTTTATGGCAAAAAGGGAAAACTTCACAGTTTCAGGTTAAGTACACAGACCACCCAGCATCCGTGGTGCCATAGGCTAAGGAAAAGGGTTTCTCCGCTCTCAGGGACCGGGCCGAGATCAGGTAAGTGCACCCTCTCAAATCAGACATCCCACACTCACGCTTCACCAGCAGTCTTAGGAGGGCCTCCTGCGTCTGGAAAGATCAGCAGATACACCACGGTAGCTTGTTACACTCCCCAGCACAAGAAGATGGGAAGCCTGAACTTAAGAGTCACAGCAACGATTTCCTGATGAAAATGTCACAAGTTTAGACAGCGCAGGGCGGCCTTTGCCTGGCCCCGGTTCGAGTCTCACCATTTGACTCACCAGAATGCCCTGAGCACTAACTCACAGGCTTTCTCAGTCCACGGCTGGGGGAAGGGGCAGCCGGCCCAACAAGGACACAGCTTTGGTTTGCCTGTCGGATGGGAGGCTCCCCCAGCCGGAGGGTAAAAACCTTCTCCATGTTACTCGATCTGGATCTGTTCTGCTAGAGACTACGCCTGGAGAAGCGAAAGTGTGCTGTTTCGAAGGCCTGGCACATTCTTTCTCAGTTACCCCCCCCTTCTCCAAATCCACAGCCATGACCAACGGTAGAATATGGTTCCTGGTCTGAGAGAAACTAATTTTCCTGAAGACACTTATCAAAAAGAGATGCTGGGTAGTTCGTATACAAAACAAAACAAAAAATAAATAAATATTTAATGTCTAAAAAGGCTTTGTGAGTTAATCAAAACCACTCGCTTATGAAACAGCCCAGAGTGCTGCTGAGTCCCACGGGGTAGTGTCAGTGGCCAGGCCCCAAACCAGGGACTCTCAGAGCTCACCTGGGCAGGCTGAGGTAGTATGAACTACTGAAGTGCCATCTTGTAAGTATGCAAGATCAAGGGTCCTCTCCTCCTGCCTCTTTTGGGCAAGGCCCCTTCTAAGACTAAGAAAGGAGCCTAACAGCCACGGAAGGCCTAAGCCAGCGAGCATCCAAGAGCGCCCCCTGGCGGCCACACAATGACATGGGGCTCAGCTGCCAAACTCTACACTTCACCACAAGTAAACAAGTTACCCAGGTGGGACAGCCAGAACGCACGCCCTGCCCTGCTGCACGCCCTGCCCTGCCGTGGGCCACCAGTTACTCGGGTCCCTTCTCATCTACACTGGAGGTCAAACCACCCTGAGTGGGGGACTCGGTGTGAATTAAGGCAAGACTGCGCTGTCAGAGGGGCCCCCTCCGTGCCCAGGGGGCGGCCAGGTGACACTGAACTCGCCCTGTCTCTGCTCGTGACAGAAGGCTTGACCTCCAGGGTTGCACTCTAAAAAAATCATGTTTCTTTGGAAACAAGGAAAAAGAGGGGCATCTTCTTCCATCCATCCAGGCTCCCCATCTGTGGCACCATGGGACACTCAAAGCTTTCCAACCTAAACAGAAAGCTCTGCCCTCGGTTTGGATCTAGCTGCCAAGAGATTTTCACTGTCCACTCGGGCAATCTGACCTGCGGAGCAAGCGGCACCCTCAGCTCCCCAAGCCCTTGTCCCCAGTGAGGAGGGAGGGAGGACCCAAGATGAACTACCCTGCTGCCAGCCCCTTCTGAATGACCACATCCCCAAACCTTCTCATCGCTGTTGTCCCCCCAAGAGTCGGGCAGTCACACCCACAGTGAAAACCTCTCTCCACCTCTTCTATGCAGTGAGGCTGTTGGTCAGATCCTTAGCAGCATAAAAACTATCAGTAAACTAAAACTAGAGAAACTGGCAAGGGGACCTAGTTTGCAGGGCCACTTGACTAGATCCTAAAGACCAGCCTCCAAAGAATCAAGGATAGAACAGGTAAGGAGGTAAATGTAACAGGGCTGCTGCTTCGCAGAAACAGTAACAGCTCATGTGCTATCTCTCTTCTTTCCACACAATACAGAACAGAATTCTTAGCAAGGCAAAGCTGTGGCATCAGCTGGGCAGGGTCAGCCACCTTTAGAGAAGCACTGTCCCGGCTGCCACCTGGGAGCTCCCTCTGGCTCCACAGAGACCCAGTCAGCTGTCCGGGTTCTTTTCCGTCTCTTTGGAATGGATAATGTACATGAAGGTCTGCTCGATGGTGAAGTCGGGCGGAAGGCTGCCTTTGTGCACGCCGACGTGTTTGCTCATAAGGTTGAGGGTGGAACTGTAGTGGCCACAGACGGTACAGCGGTACATGAGGGCCCCCGAGTGCGTCTTGAGGTGGCACTTGATGGTCGAGCGGCCGCGGAAGAATTTGTGGCAGACCTTACACTGGTACGGCTTCTCGCCCGTGTGGATCCGCCGGTGGTAGTTGAACTCGCTCGTGTGGGCGAACCTCTTCCCGCAGACCTTACAGCTGTACTTGCTGTTCCCGGGCTGGCCCTGCAAAGCCAGCTCCTCACTCAAAAACTCCTCCGCCGGCGGCGGCGGCGGCGGCGGCAGCTTCCGCTTCTGGAGGGCTAGGTGCTGCAGCCCCAAGCCAGGCCGCGCGTCCAGGCCACTGTTGCATTTGTGCTGGCTGACGTGGTAGCGGTAGGCGGCCTCGGACCTGAAGCTCTGGCTGCACAGGTGGCAGCGGAACAGCGTGTCCTCCAGGCTCTGGTGCACAGCCATGTGCTTCTCCAGAAGGTGCCAGTCCACGAAGCTACTGGCACAGACCGAACAGGAGAACACCGAAATGCCCAGATGAGAGAGCGTGTGCCACATGAGGCTGCATAGGTTGAGGTGGCGCTGGTCACAGACGCTGCAGGCCTGGCCCTTCAAGTTCAGATGGTCAAGGACGTGGCCCCGGACCACGTGGAAATCTTTGGCCAATGCTTTCCCACAAGTGGCACATTTCAACTCAGGGGAGGCTGCCCCTGAAAAGAGACCCAGTTTCCCCGAGAGGGGCTCATTAGGGTGGACGACGATGTTGTTCTCAAATATCCCATCCCGTCGATGCAGGGTTAACTGCCACTGGGTAAAGAACTTGGTTTCACACATGTCACAGGAGAACAGGAAGATACCAATGTGGGACAGGACATGGGTCACCCGGGAGTTTCGGTCCTGGAAGTGGGTCTCACAGACCTTGCAGTTGCCCGTGAGCAAGTCCACGTGGTCCCGGGCATGCTGCCGTATCAGCTGAATGTTGGGCTCTAGAACCTTCTTGCACACCTGGCAGGGCATGGCCTTATTCTCTCGGCTGTCGCTCTCCCCAAAAGTCAGGTCGTCCTCGCTGTCGTCGCTCAGCTCGATCACCTCCTCAGCCATCCCCATCTCTTCAGCCGGGTCCTCGAACTGCAAGTCATCGTCGCCCAGGTCCTCCAGCTGCAGCTCATCCACCTGCCCGAAGCCTGGATCCTTGGCGTGGTCGCTGTTGCTCAGAGAGGAATTGGTCCCGGTTGCTACATCTACGGCACTGTCGGAGGGGAAGAAACTGTTTCGGCCGAAGTCTCCATTGCTCTGAACTTTGTATGGCTGGCAAGAACTCGGGCCGGTCTGGATGCCCGTGCTGACGGTGCCGAGGACTGGCTGGGCCACCATACTAGGAACAGACGTGAACGGAACAGGGGCGTCCTGGTCTTCTGTCTTTGGTGGCAGTGGTGGCAGGGACAAGCTGTGATTAGTGTCACTGGCCACACTCCTCTCTTCCTCTTTATAGCTCCCTCCAGCATCAGCAGGCAACACATAGTTTCTCTCGGGACCAAAGGGTTCCCCAGTCCCCCGGAGTTCCCCCAGCGGGTGGGTGGGATCCACCGAAGGACATCTCAGAGCAGCAGACTGGCTGCTACCGGTGCTGGTCAAGGACTTAGCCACTGCGGTGCTCTCTAGGTCGGGGAACGTCGAGTGGCAGGCCTGGAGCAGGTCTTCCATACCCAGGCGCTCGGCGACCTCATAGATGACCCCCACGTTGATCAGGTCTGTGAAGAGCTCGGAGGTGTAGACGAAGCTCAGAATCTTCTCGAAGTTGGCGGGGGTGATGAAGTCCACCACGTAGGTCCGGGCGGCGTCGAGCCCGGTGTTCAGGAACAGGTTCTGGAAGTAGCCAGCTGCGCAGGCCAACACGGCCTTGTGGGCGGGGAAGGAGCGGCTCCCCACCACAATCGTGACATCACACATGGTCTCTGACAGCCGGCACTTGTTGAGTTCCTTCAGCAGGTTGTTAGGGTGGTTGTTGCTTTGCAGTTTGATTCTCATGCCCATCTTAGCAATCCTAGGAAGCCGCCTCTATCCACAAGGTCAATCTGTGGACAAGACGACAGAAAAAGAAAAAAAAAAGGTAGCAAAGATCCCTGGGAAAAGGGTTCTGTCCGGGAGAGAAAACCACCGTTCTGGATGTGCCCTGGGCGACCAGGGGAGCACGGACAAGGAAACCCAGAGAACGAGAGGAAGAGAATGGTCCGTTCCCTGCATACACCCAACTAGAGAACCGTCAGAAAATCCCAAAGGGATGAGAAAAAAAATCAATTAGCTTGGTCTGGAAACCCTAAGAAGCTGGGATTGCAGAGACAGCTCTGCCATTCATGCAGAGGACCCAGGTTTCATGCCCGCCACCCACATGTCCGGAATTCTAGTTCCGGGGGACCTGACACCGTCTTCTGGCCTCTTCAGGCAACAGAACCACACGGTAGACTTACATACATGTAGGGGAACACTCAAACACACAACACAAAAATAAACAAATCCTTTTTAAAAGCCTAAGAGGCCAGGTGCAATAGTGTATACACATAATTCCAGCACTTGGAAAGCTGGGCCAGGAGTATCAATCAGCAGTTCTAGGACAGTCTGGGCTATGAAGCCAGGCTGTACGTTTTAAAAGGGGGGGCGTGGGCTGTGAGCGTCAAGCTAGGAGTCTTCCAAACGAGTGAAGGATCTACTGAAAAGTCCTCCGTACTACCAAAACTACGGGCTCGGGTCTTTGATTTAACTTCCTAAAGTTTCTCTCGTCATTAATTCTGTCCTCCTCCCTGACAATGCCAAATGCCACAAGTAGACTCGAACACCATTATACAGCTCCTTTAGCTACCAAGGAAGGAGTAAGGATTGTCCTTTTAGTTGTCTATCAATGTTGTCCTTTCAAACCTCCAAATAAAACTCACACTTGTTTTCTTTCTTTTTCTTTTTGAGACAGGGCCTTATGCGGCCCAGGCTGACTTTGAAATTTGCTCTGTGACTAAAGGGTGGCCTTGAATTCAGGACCCTCCTGCCTCCACCTCCCAAATGCTAGATTACAGCTAGGAGCCGCCAGACCCAGCTCAACCCATCTCTGGCCCTTCCCAGACCCATTCCGGACGCTGCTTTCTCAATGCTACTGTATTCTGTGGATGAAATTAAACTCATAACCAAAGAAAGCCAAGCGAACACAACTGCGATGTCTCAAACGTTACTTAGGCACGCTCTATTTCTCCTTACTAACCTTATATTAACAACTGGGTGCCTCGTGAAAGGCATCGATGGGCACAGGAAAGACTCTAATAATTACTTTTCCCCCTTTCGGCTCCCGCACGCCTCGGGAGAATAGCCAGCTAGCTCGCTCACATGCTTGTCCGTCCCACAACTCGCCCTGCGCAGCAAGCACATCCCCTTTCTCCGTCGCACCGGGTCCTTACCAACAATTCCCAACTTTTTTTTCCCCTCCCCCGGGGGCCCGGCACTCGTCTGAGTATTCCTGGGTACCAACCACGCGCCCCCCGGGGCCCTGGCGCGGTCACTCCGTCGCCGCGGGGAGGGCCCGGGCACCCGGTGGCTTTGGAACTTGCAAAGGAGTGCGCGCCCCCAAGGGTCTGGCGCCGCCGCGGTCCCCTCCCCTCCGTGCAATCGCGCAGGCAGGGGCCGGGCTGGGGCGCACCGCCGCG